GATTGATCTAATCAGATTTAACAAAATTTAATTAAGAAGTGGTAAAATCCTTCCACAACAACTTTTAAAACCAATAACTTAGCAAAAATATAAGAAAGTTGTTGCCCAAGAGCTTGATAAAACTTTTCAAAAGGTTATAATATAACTAAGACACCCACTTCTAAAGTAGATTATAATGTATTAGCACATTAAATAAAAAACTCCTTGCTCTATTCATCTAATGAGTGTATATGATGCTCTAATGTTTTCTCCAAAACTTTGTTAAACTTTAGCTAAAGTTCTTCTAGAACCAGAAGTTTTTAGGAAAACTAAAAGAATCTCCTTCTATTGAACATCTTCTAATAGTCACATTCACAGATGATGCTCTTCTTTTAGAAATATTTAATCATAATTGACCTTTATACATTACTACTTTTGTTTATGATAATATCTTAAATTTTATCCTTGTAGACCCTAGGCCCTTTATCAACATAGACTATTCAAACCTTAGAACTATTATCTTTGATCACCAAAAAATAGTGTTCAAATTTGTTGATGTTACTTGGCTTCAATGTGAAGGGTCAAAAGACCCTTGGATTTATTATATTGCCTTTATAGTTTGGTGATTTTAAAATTGCAACTAAATTTCATATCATAGATACTTACACATCCTTTTGTGCTTTGTTAGGATGACCTTAGCTTCATGAATACAAAATGATGCATTCCACCTTACACCAATATATCAAGTCTATTTGGATTGTGAGGATATTTACAACCATTTTCAGTTACTAAAATAGGTATTTATATTCATAATGACATTAAATATTTTATTCCTAAATAAAACCCTACTTGTTTGGCTATTTTCCTCTAGACATTGACTATCGATAAAATCATTCCCTCTAATTTGGTTGTCTTCAAGAGGTGGCTAAATAGTGAAAAGAGAAATTAAGAGGCCAATGGTCTACATCTAGAAGATCAAAATTAGAAGGGATGGTGATCTGAATGGCTTATATCTCAAATAGAAGCTTAACAAGGAGTATTGTTTTAAAAGAGAGAGTGTTTGACAAACTTATTCCAAAATGCATTGAAAGCATATCTTCAGATGTCGAAATGTAAAAAGACTGAAGAGACTAATCTTATTAACAATCCTAATTATTTCCCATACTATAGGATGGTTTGTCGTATCATTAAAGACTGTTATGTATGCAAATATTGGTTAGAGAAGAAATACATAAAAGGTGAGTTTACACTATCAGACAATGTTTAAATTCACTCAAGAAGATAATAAAAAAGGATAGTTATGTCCTCTTGCGTGCCCCCAAGTGAAGAAAATTCAAAAGCAAGCTGTTTTCCTACACTTCCTTTTGTTAATCTCGCACTTCATTACAATTCTCCCAATGATACTGATGATAAGTTATTAATGAATTATTTACAAGGTTTAATTATTAACATAACGTGGATTATTTAGTTTGATAAAATTGATAACATTGGTTAAGTAATGTATCATTCTTTGAAGTTTGAAATTAATTTGATTTATATTTTATTTTTAATGAATTTATTTAATTAGGAGTTAATCAATTATTAATTAATTTTGGATCCAATTTTTTTTCAATTATTGTAGGATTGATTTAGAGTTGATTAAAAGAAACTTTGCATTTTTGTAAATTTTTATTTATTTTTTGCAATATTTGAAAAATTTAGCCTTTAATTAAAGGCTGGTTTTGATTAATTTTATTTTATGGTCAATTAATGTCAAATGAATGTGAATTTAATTCCTAGGGTGTGAAATGTGTCTAAGTTCACTAGTTTAAAGTTTCATCCCTGTTAAATGTGTGTATGAGTTCCTATAATTTTTTAAGTTCACTAGACACAAGCCTTAATTATTTTTCCTAGATCTCACTAAGGTTCAAATGGGTTTGAAATTTGTTGTGAACTGGCGTTATACATGTACAATCATACCACAACAATATAGTGTTTTAATGCTCTATAGAATAATTATTGTGAATTATTAAATTTAGAGGTCACATAGTGACCTATAGACTTGAAAATTTCACTACATAAAATATATGAATCAAGTTAGGCTAGGAATGTTGGAGGATGTAGATAACATCCTCAAGCATTCTCCCTCAAAATTTTAGAGCCTATGATCATGCCTATTTGGAGAGCAATGTACAAAAATCCATAAACCATTAAAGGCTATATATTTGTTCTCAAACTATGCATAATCATATCTTGAATGTATTTTTAAATCAAAGAGCTCAGCCCATCATAATGATTTCATAGAGCCCTAATATGCAATGATTGGGCAAGAAATAAATTAACTATGCATTTGCATAAATCTAGTTCAAAAAATGACCTAGGTTTTTGTAAATTCAAGTATGAGCAATGTTAATCTCTAATAATCCTAGAAAAATTACTGGATATGAGAAATGTCCCTCAAACTACCCCAGCCAAATTGAGCTCAATCAGATGAACATACAAGCAACATTAAATGCAATTAGATATTCACTAAAGGTGGAATTGCTCCCTTTACATTCATCTTTTTGACCCCCATTATATTTTTATAAGCAGACATAGAGACATACATATCATGATTCAGATATTGTATACTATGTTAAATGAAATAAGTTCAATTGCAAATAATATTTTATTGATAATTCCACTACGATATTTCTATGAAAATACAATTGAAACTATATGTTAATGTTTATAATATTCAAGTTCAAGTAACAAATTCTAAAAAATTTAATTATAACTTATATTCAAGTTTAAAACATACTATGTTGTCCTTTTGATAATGTGGAATAAGGAATCCCCCTATTTATGATTTCTAAGAGTAAAATTATTTCTATTAATTTATAATTGATGTTTAAAATATTTTATTTATATATTGCAAATATGGGCATTAAAATCCCCAATAGGAATTGGGAGCCTGCTCAGCATATGAAATATGAAATGCTCGCTCTATTGTTTTATGAATTTTTAGAAAAAGGAAATGATATAAACACAGTAAGGGATCGATAAGAACAGTCTATCAAAACTATCGCTATTCAGTTATTTTATAATCCAATTTTTATATTTTGATGTATAGAATAAATTATGCTGGATTATTTAAAATGAAAATCTTTTATCAACTATTAAATTATTTTATAGGCTCTAAAATACTCTACATTATGATTTAGATAATTAAGTTTAATATTTAATTCTTCCAGATTTTGAGGCATTACATCTCTAAACCTTATTTTTAAATTAGTGGTCTTTTTTATAATTCTAATTTGTAGCTACATTTAATTTTAATGAAATTAGCTGCGTGACCATCATTTTACAAAACAAAAAATAAAAAATAAAAAAATAAACTTTCTAGCAGTTAAAGCAAAAAAGACTTTTTTTTTAGGGAAATTTACATACATACCACTTTATAACATCCTATATACAAATCTAACACCAAAAAATTTAATATTACATGCATACCACCATATATTATTTTAATATCAAATATACCACTTATATTTCTTTCCTACCACTCATATATTTCATTTTTATCACTCATATTTGATATGAAAATGAACTATGGGTGGTATGTATGTAATATTAAAATTTTAGGTATTAAATATGTAAATAGAATAGTATTAGTTGATATGTATGTAAATCTTCCTTTTTTTTAATGAATAAGTACAGCAGAAGTGTATTGCAGAGTTTCATTGTCCCGAAGTCCCAAACCATCAGGTTGACCCCAATTATCTAACTGTTGTAATTGATAATTTTTAATATTTAGGTTTCGTTTAAAAAAACTTTTGGTCCACTTCTTTTAAAAAAAATTTATACTAAAAAATTATTTAAAAAATAATATGAAAGATGTCTCAAATAAAATTTTAAACTAGAATCTTCATCATTTTAATACAGGCATATAAAACCATCGTAGCTTTTAGCTTTACAATATAATTAAAGTCTATCTTTTCTTGTTGCTTCATAAACCCTACTTGTACAATTGCATTTGTGCCTGCAATTATCAGCACGAGGGCTACCAACTAAGGGTCCAGTTGGGACGGCTTCATCACTGCTTTGCTTTATAAAAAATTGTTAAATGCTCGTTTGAGGCATTGCGGCCTTTCACTGCCTCCCTCAGTCTATCGCTTTCCGCAATTTCGAAAGGTAAAAATGCTATAAATACCCCCATTTGTTTGATAGCGCTCGATCATTTCTAAACTCCCTCGTCATCAACGATGTCATCTCGCAACCATGTTGCAACAGCTACCATAGCTTAGGTGACGATGGCCGCGACGACGCAATCCTTGTGAAACGGTTCAGATCTAGCACCTGTTTAACGTAGTGACATTTGCCTACAATACATCTTTGATTCCTTTCGTTAGGATTTTCCCATCACTTACTTTGCTCGCATATAACTGCAACACAATAACTCGATAATTATAATATTCAAACAAACTATAATAATTTTTTACAAAACTTTAAAAAAGCAATCTCTGTAAAACAATTTTACAACCTACAATTACCGATGTCCCAAAAACATCATAAGGTTTCATTTGGGACGGTTTTTTTATTGCTTTAAAAAACGGAGTTTTAGTATATATTTTTTTTTTATTTTTTACTAAAACTCCGTTTTAAAAAGCAATAAAAAAACCGTCCCAAATGAAGCCTAAGACTGTAGATTCCTCTCGAAAAAACTTCATAGCTGAGATGATCAACTCAAAATATTTTATAAGAATCATCTTATCCAAAATGCCATGCAACTGACTTTGCCTCTGTTTCAATAAAATGTAGGTTTTGTTTGCGACAATTTTTTTTATTATTTTATTTCTCAAATCAGAACTAAAATTTCTATTTGGCCAGTGATTTAAAAAAATATATATTAAAAAATTATTTTCTACAGCAATTTTGAAAAAAAAATTATTTTCTCTATCTCAGCTCAATAATAATCTTTATAAAAAATTACAACCATCTCAAACATACCTTCAATCAGCTATAAATCTTTGTGGAGAACAACGGTAAGTGCTCATTTCCCAGAGAAAAAAATACAGAGAACCTATATACTCAAGAATAAGAACATGTTCATGACAAGAAAATACTGTAAGTGATCATGAATATGTAGCACTAAACCCTAAAAAACCGCAAAATATTAGTGAATCAAAGATTCCATCAAGCCTCAAGTTTGTTTGCTATACAAGAATATAAGCCCCATAAAAATTTTCAAGAAAAAAAATAAAAATAAAAATCAATGCATTAAAGAGGTTCCAATGCACCATTCTTTAGTCTTTCCATCCGAGCCTGAAGTCCAGATAATGCTTTCTCATCCATGGGAAGCACAGTGGTCTGTGCCAGAGGTTCTGGTTCTCCATCTGCTTCTTCAGCTCCATTCTGCAAGTTGCCATTCACTGCTATCAATGGACGGACACCAATTTCCGCATTACTGGCGGCAGCGGCTGCTTGAATGCTCTTCATTCTTTCTCTAATGGCATCCAATGTACCTGTCGTTATTGCCGGAGCTGTATCCATTACAATGTCAAAATAATATCAGACTCACAAACTTCCATAGAACTCACTCAAATGTAATGGTTTAAATTTTAATCAAAAGTCAATAAAATCATCATTTTTCAAAACATAAGCCAGTGAAGCAATCAAATAAGTCCTTAATGACATTCTATGTGCATGGATGAGTGGAATTGAGCTTGTGGAATGTTTAAGGCCTAGTTTGATTGGGCGTTTTTTGTGCTTAATCCTTTTTAAAATGGTAAAGTTATTTCTTCTTTACTGTTTGGTTCCTCAAACCACGTTCCCAATAAGTTGTTTTGAGAAAACTTTTTATATGTGCTTTCTCAGTTAGAAAACTCCTTTTTCTGAACTAATATTTCTTAAAACTGCTTTTACAAAATTACCGAATAACCAAAAAAAGCCTAAGTGTTCGCTCAATAACATAAGGATGGTTGAGAGAAGCCACCTGATGAAAATCTATCAATTCGATCCTCTCCAAAATTGCTATTGCTTTTGAACGTGGTTCCTGCAGCAGCAACATCATCCTCACTATATGACACTGGCAAGCCGGAGTTGTTATCAGGTTTTACACCGATTGATTTGGTGTGAACAGGAGAAACGGCACCAAATTTTGGAGAAGAAGCATTCATGGATAATGGAGGTGGAGTTGAGATTGGGAGGCTTGATGGCATTCTGCCAGCTGCTGCATTCTTTTCCATCTTCAGGATGCAAAGGTTGATTAAAAATTAAGGAAGACCATCCTACAGTTCAAGTTATAATAATTATAATTAGAGAGATTCATATAGATGACCTGGGCCAATCCATCTCTGATGTATGTTCGAAAAGCCTCACTTGCATTCTGGAGCTGAGCAAATATATCAACCTACAAAACAGTAATGAAAAAAAAGGTGGCTGATGATTTGATTTCAGTTACTTGCTCCATTACATGCAAATCACCCCTTCTTTCCACCTCTTACCTTAGGGTACAACTGAGTTATTCGATATAGTTCATAAAGGCCAATGGTGCATGTTTGTTTGTCCCCGATCTTCTTAAATACAGCAGCCAGCTCTTGCTGTTATGAAGTTGTTCAAATAAACAAATTTAGAGCAACAGATAGTCCTAAAATGATTATGCTACAGCTCTTGTCCAGATTTATCTAAAACACAGCTGCAAATGGCCACAAGTAACTATTTAAACGCAGAAATGGAACCTTCAATTGAGCATCAGTAGAATGTGTTGTGGCTGTAGTGTTGTTTGAAACAGCGTCACCCCAATGAGTTTGCCCTATGGGGCCTGTTGGTGTCAGCATTCTAGCAGCTGCAAGAGTCTGAAATGAAAGAATAAACATTTACCAAATTAGTTTTTAATTAGAATGCATTGCTTAAATTTTGCCATTTTTGAAATCGTGAACTTCAGAAAGTTTTTGTTTCTGTCAGAAACAACTAAGTAGCACTACATCTAATAGAACAGACTCCACAATGTATCGTAGAAACATACAAATTCAGGAAAAAAGTGAAATTCAGAAAGGAGCTTTTTTCAACGTAATTACCTGTAGATTCAGGTCAATATAAGCAAGAATAATAGGCTGAGGCTCTGAGTCTATGGGTACCATCGAAAGGTGACCCTTGATAGCTGTTCCACGGAGTTTTACAAGTTCATGCAGAACAGTTTTAACCATTCGTAGTGGTTTATCATCAGCTCCAGCCCTAAGAAGCTCCAGGTAAGTATTGTGAAAAGTTGAGCCAGAAAGAAGAAGAACAAAAATCTCAAAGAAGATAAAAGAGAGGGATATAGATTAACTCCAAGCAATAATTACCTCTTTCGTATCTCCTCCATCCCAAGCTCTTGCAAATACACGTGAATAATATGAAGAACTCGGTCAAGATCAACATCAAATATCGTGCTCTGGAGTACCTGGAGTCACTGATTGCATCAATAACTCTATCCAAGGATACAAGAATTAGAATTACTTGTTGGGGTTAGACAATACTTGTTCATCACCTTAGTTAATTTGATAAGACACTTAACAACTAGATCGGAAAACTTTTGATTTCTATTGGCAAGGGTTTCAGTTGATGCAGGAGACGGCCACCTGGAAGGATCTAAAGGTCTCAACAACCTTATCAACACGACAAACGATGATGTACGCTCAGCATTGTCCTGGGTCAAGTACAAATAATAGTCATGACATAAACATGTGGACAAAACAATCAAGTAGCATAGAAAGTAAGCAAAAGACCAACCAAAATCTTTAGCATTAGGACATTGAGTGCTTTAAGCAACTGACTGCCTTCATCCATCAAAGGAACTCTTTCATCTAGAAGCCAAAGAAGTAGCTCAGTGATTAGGTTGTCTAGGGTGCTTTCCTTTGCAGCATGAGCAAGCCGTTTGATCTGGAAAGTCTGTAAATAAAAGAATATTCAAATAGGCTACCTAAGAAATAATGGCCAATATTTATTGCATTCTTTCAATAAGAACATTTTATGGAAACAAGGAGGCACCTGCATCAGCGTATTTAAAACATATTTACATGATCTTGAAGAAGCTCCAGAAAAGCTGAAGTTAAAAGTCCTGGGGACCTGCAATAAACTTTGTTAGAAAAGTGTTGAAGGAATTAAGAAACACTTATTAGGCGAGAGCTATCAAATACCATGGTGGCTAAGCAGGAAACTAATCTATCAATCTCCTTAACAAGATCTTCATTTAAATTACTATCAGGATCATTTGCAGCTTGAGTCAATTCATGGCACACAACTTTCATGCCTTCAACTGACTGCACCAAAGAAAAACCGATGTCAGACCATATGATCAACTTATCACCATCAGTAGCTATTGCATCCTTAGAAAACCATTTAAGGTTGGATTCGCAAACCAATTTTTGACGGTCATTCTTCAACAGAAAGTATAGCATCAACAAATAATTTAACAGAATGCTCAACTTGAAATCCAAAGAAACCAATTCATGGTAAGAAAATAAAAAATAGCAATAAGCAACAACAATGGAAGGGAATAATGAAGCACGTATATACTGACACAGGATATGGAATATATATGATGAGGACATCGTCAGCATTTTCGACACGTGTACCATGAGGAGACGCCGGAGATCGACGGCTACGATCATGAGTTTATATAGTAGTATAGTATATAGTAGTATAATATATAGTATAGTATAGTAGTATATAGTATAGTAGCATATAGTATTGTATAGAATATAGTATAGTATAGTATATAGTAGTATAGTAGTATATAGTATAGTAGTATATAGTAGTGTAGTAGTATAGTTGATGTAAATCCAGGATTTGAGTTTTAGAAATTTAACAAAAGGATTATTCAAGTATGATAATTGCAAACTTAATCTTGTTCCCAATTCTTGCTTTTAGAAATTCTTAGTTGTTAACTATGATTAGGCAAGCACTTACAACTAAATTAGCAAGACCAAGAAAATAACGACTTTAATAAATGTAAAGCAAATGAGGAGAACAACTAGAATCCCAAAGTTAACAAAGCGATCGTCTCACCTTGAGGCCGCTCTCATTTACCTACTCCTAGGCTTGTTGGGAGAAGAAGAACCACACGATGGATGAGATCACTCCTAGAGCGAGGGCGCCGTAGATCCGTAGGGAGGAAGAGGTCGGCGCGGGTCGGGGAGGTGGTGGAAGATGACGGCCTTCAATGATCCAAGTGTACTCTGAAAAATGATCGTCGACGGTCTCTATTAGAGTGGGTACGATCCGGGCTAAATACTCCTCGACGGTGTCGTCGAAGTCGAATCCGACGTCAAAGAAAGTGGATCGGAGGATGTCTACTCGTCCGTGGTCGTCGTATTCAAACCCGTAGTTCCACTCGGGTTCGTCCATGCATCCTTGGAGTGGAGCCGGATGGTCGCCGCAAGGAAAATCTCCCAAGGAGGGCAGGTGGGGCGGCGGCTGAGGCAAGGGAGAGGGGAGCCGGCGGTAGAACTTGGGGAGGGACGGGTGTGGTGGAGTGGCTTAGGAGGTCAATTCAGATTAGTGCAGGAAATCTGAAATTATTTCAGTTATTGGGTGAATAAGAGGGAATAAACTTGAGAATTCAAATTAATTCCAAAAGGGGAAGGGTGGGGCGGTGACAGGATTAATTAAAGGGGTTAATTAAGTGGGCCCCAGCAGATTTAAGGAGCAGATTTAAGTTAAAATCTGCAGGAAATTCAGCCCCCAATAAAAGGAAACTTCCTTTTATGAGCACCCGTATAAAGCCACGGTTTGAATTTCAATTTGGCTATGAAATTCCTTAATGATAAGGGCTGAAATCAAGGGTTTATTTTTGGTAAGTGATCACGCCTCAGTGGAATTTTCAATTTACAAATATATGCTAGAGTTAAGTGCTGTATTGGCTGATTGAAAGAATAATTGCTCAAGCATTGAAAACTTGATATCCACGGCCTGGACCAAACAGCATGTAACGGTCAGCAGGCTGCATGGAAATTTTCGGTTTTCTGGAGAAAAAGAGATGGGATTTCACGGGTGGCTGTGTGCTGGGGTTGAGGAGCGGTGGAGGGAGGGAAGAAGGCTGCACGAGAGGGGTTGGACCCGTGGCCAAGAACCTAGAAAGGCTGACCGGCGGGAGATTTCAGCCACAGTAGCCGGCGGATCTGAGCAAAACCCTGCTGGGCGGCGGCAACTTCAAGGCTAGTGGTCCGACTTCACTCCAATTGAGGTGTGGATGGCGTGCTCGTGGATGAGATGTAGATCGAGGAAAACTAATACCCGGAGAACTCACAAAGAGATCTCATGAAAGGAACTCACTAAGAGATCCTTGAAAATAAGAACTCACAAAGAGATCAAAAGTAGAAATTTTCATTCATCATCATCAATAATCCAAATACAATGATACAAGCCTTATATATAGGCTGACTGAAAAATAAAAGCATAAAGTCTAAAATGTCCTTTGGGCTCCAATAGGTGATACATCCCTCATAGGGGTACAAACGGAAAACAAGAAATAAACTAATAGAAGAAAACTAAATCATCACAGATAAAGACTCTGAATCAGGGCCGTCGATCGTCGTCCCCGGCGATGGTACACATGTCGAAATCTGATGCCCTCATCAATAGTAGTAGTATATAGTATAGTAGTTAAATATTCTCATGAAATCTGCCAACAATCACAAAAGCTTTGGTGCACCACATGCATGGTCAAAGTCGATCAATATTCAATAATAGCACGAAATCAAAAATATGGTCGTAGCTTAGCCAGTCAACAAAGTCATTAATTTTGTTTTCACAAAGAAAAATGATCAGATGCCACAATGGCATGTCCAAGATAGTGTGCCAGTCGAGCTCATAGGTAAAGTTCTGAGCATGAAGAACATTTCAAGCTCGAATACTAAATCAGCTGGTCACAAAAGTGGCACTACTTGCTAGTAACAGACTCAGTAACACATTAAAACACGGAAACAAGTATACAAATATCTTTAAGCATCACTAGACTAGTCTCCTCCTAATGAACATTGCCATTCAAAATTGTATTTATAAACCAATGACCTTCTATGACTTCAAATACAGCGTAAAGAGCTTCACTTCCATTCATAGCATTAAAACCACTCAGGCTTGATTTTCACTAGACATGAACCTCCTAGGGTTAAGATGGAAAGCTCAGAAATGGAACAAACGTTGAAGAACGCAAATGTCTTGCTCACACATGGCCTTCAACGCAAATGTCTTGCTCACACATGGCCGCCATCAAGCTAATAACAAAAGTTCGCTTTTATGAATTCGTTAGAGTCTAAACCATTGAATATGTTCCAAGTCTCCATGCCTTAAAATTCTTAAATTACTTCTCTTTAAATCTTTCATCAATCACAAAAGCCATGGTGCACCTCTTGCACGATCAACGCCACGCAATAATAAGCATGAAATCAAAATATACCTAAGCCATAGTTTAGCTTATCAACAAAGCAAAAAGAAATTGTTCTCACAAAGAATAAATGAAGGGATGCCAGAATGGCATGTCCAAGATATTGGAGGGAGAGAAAAAACATACATCTATTTGAAGAACAATAATTACGATAAAGTGGTTAAAAGTGTTGTAACAAGAATGAAAGAACATATTTCTAGTTGTCATAAAAGTGTTGCACCATTTATTAAAGTGTATGAGGAGATTAAAGCTTACATAATAAAATGACCATGTCAAAACATTAGACACAATGAAAATTTGATGATAGAGTTGATAGCAAATTCAAAAGAGATTAAGGGGGACCCATAGATCAATATATGATGAATGTGGAGGATGAAAAGAAAATGATACAAGGACAGCCAATCGATTATCTCCACAATATGTAAGAGAAGTTCGCAAGCATGTCTATATGGATATTGGAAGATTCTTCCATTAAAATACAATTCCATTTAATGTGGTAACTTCCCCATCCTATGTTTACATGATTCATTCTATTGGTTCCTATAATCAAGGCCTTAAATCTCATTCCATGTATGAGCTCAGAATTTATATATCGAAGGGGAAAGTGAATAACATCGAGAAAGTTATTGAGGAGATCAAGAGAACTTGGACATAGACTGAAGTTACAATTATGTCTAATGGTTGGTCTAATATTAAAGATAGGAGCTCGATCAACATTCTAATAGGCAATCCCAATAGTACTATTTTTCTTAACTTAGTTGTTGAAGTATCAAATCAGGTGAAGGAATTAAAGTACATTTTCAAACCTACTGATGAAGTAATGAAGATTGGAGAGCACTTAGTGATGAGGACATCGAAGATCAACGGCTACGATCGTGTCTATTTATTTTCATGTATTTTATTTGTTATTTGTACTTTTCCATTTCTACCCTCACTTGAGGGTTCTTTAAGCAAATCACTTTCGCATGGATTGTTTCACATCACTTAGTGGTCCAAATTGTTATTGACAACATTAGTGCTTACACGACAATGAGAAATAAGTTGATAAAGAAGAGAGCACATTTACGGGAGTTCATGTATTACACATTGCATTGATTTAATCCTTGAAAATTTTGGAGACTGACTCAATAGAACAATGCCTTGCCTAAAGCTAAAAAGATTAACATGTTCATTTATAATTATAGTTGAGTTTTGGTTTTAATGTGGAAGTTTTCTAAGAATGAATTTTTCATACTTGCAGCTACTAGATTTCTTACAGCAAACTCAACTCTACAAAGCAAATTAGAAGCAAGGTAAACTTTTTAGGCTACTAGATTTCCTATAGCATATTCAACTCTATAAAGCATACTAGAAGCAAGATAATCTTTATAGACTATATTCACCTCCACACAGTGGGTTAAATGAAATTTGGCTAACAAACCTAAAAATAAAGATGCTAGGAAGATTGTTTGTAGGGATAGATTTTGGTTAAGTATTACTAATGCTATTACAACTATCGTTCATGGTTGAAGATTGGTTGAAGCAGAGACAAGGCAATGATGGGCTTCATTTATAATGCAATGTATGAGGCAAAGTTGTTGATAGCACAAAATAGAAGAGATGAGTCCAGCAAAAATGAAATTTGAGAAATCATGTATAAGAAATTGGAGCTTCAACTGCATCAGTAGTTGCATGCCAATGGCTACTGTTTGGATCCTCAATATCAATAGCCTAAGAACAAGTCAACCAATCCAAATATCAAATTTGGTCAGTACAATTTTACAAATGGATTAATTTGCTGACTAAACCAAAAAGCCAAAGGCTTCCAATTGCACCATTTAGAAATATGACTTCTTTAGATTACAACAAACAAAAATAAAATAGCAAATATTCCCC